TTGCAATTTGTGGTAAGAGGTATAAAAGTGGAAAAGTCTATATTCATAACAGTGCCACAGGAGTTTCAGAACAGGCAGCTGCAAGACAGCATATCCAGTAGATGCCTAAACAGTCTTCCATGCCTTCTCATGGAATCGTAGCCTCTCATCTTTCTCCAGAATAACACACCAGCAGACACAACTGTTTTGTGTATCTTGACAGTGTCACTACTGGTAACACAAACTTCTTTTGGACTGTTCGTTTCACTTGCAAAGGACATTCTCACTCTTTCTCATTGGACCTTAACCAGTAGGCTGTACAATAAACAGGATGAAGATCAAAGTTTTTAAGTACTCTTTGTTCAAAGTCATACACTTAAAATGGAAAAAAATCAATTCTACCTACTTCAGACTCCTAGCCCATTATTTTCCAATCACCTATTACAGTACTTAAAAAAGTCTGCAGAATGAAGAATTTTTTTAAAATTCCTGCAAAATGTTGTAGAAGTTCCAAATAGAGTAAGTATGACGTTATGTTACACTGGTATTATGTATAATCTTCTAAGCTCCTACTAGATAAATGGACAACAATTTCCCAACTTTTAGAATTTTTTTGCAAGTTTGACATTTCCTCTGATGTTGCTGTATGAATGCATACTAACCTATGAGAGAAAATCAAATTTATATACATGATGAATATAAAGTCCATCCCTACTGCTAAGGAAATATAAAAATACAGCACACATTACACTCATGAACTTGATGAATTAATTTATTTGAAAAATATAACTTTTCCCTTAACTCCTTTGCTGCTATAAGGCATCAATTATTACATCAAACTATTATAATCACAAACCAAAATAAATAAATAAATACATGTTTTTAATGTGACAGAAAGCAGCTTTCAGCCTCTTGAGATCGAAGTAAAAAATTTCATGAGTTGTACAAAGTTGTCTATTGCATATTGAATAAACTCATTAAAATAACACATTGATTTTCTTTTGCTGGAATTACTTAGACCTAAATATATTGTGGCCACACTAAAAGTGAAAAAAACGCTGAAAGATCAATCTTTTAATCAGAAAAAAAAGGAAGTCACTTAGTTTGAAGGCAAAAAATACAAAATGTTAAAACGTGACATTTTAGAAAAATTTTTGCTTGCTGCCTTAGCTGAGAGGAGTGGATATGGAAGGACTTTGGCCTTTCGTTTTAAGTGGAATACTGGGCAAATAGTCAACAGTAGAGACATCAGACACTCTGACCTTGTGTGTGTGTGTGTGTGTGTGTGTGTGTGTGTGTGTGTGTGCTCCTTCCCCCAACAGTATTCTCAGAACCAACAGGGTGCCAGGTGAGGTGGCACACATCTGTAATCCTGTAGCAGAAAATGCTCCCCACCCCTCAGCCAGCAGACTTCAGTTTGTTAGTCGCCCAGGTATTAATAGTTCCTGTTCCAGTTTCAGCTGCTCCTGTCTCTCAGAGACAGCTGGTCACTGTGATGCACACTGTATAAACCAATCTCCAATTGACAAGCCATTCTGCGTACTTATATAAGCCCAAGACTACCAGAGACCAGGGCCTGACATCCCTGGAATGATCACCCCTTGATGTAATAAAATCTGCCCCCAAATCCTGGGTATCGTTTTGGTGTTTCTGCTTGCTGTTGCATCAGGTGCATCAGCCTGGAAGACAGACCACACTGATAGGTTTGATCACTGGTTGTGGCCCTCATGAATGGAGCAAGGACCCTTCCAGGTCTCAAGAGGAAAGCCTGCTCTTGAGATTTCTTGAGTTTCCTCAGAGATCCACAGGATTCCTGGTTCCTGTTGAATCCCAAAGGCAGGAGGATGCAATCTGTTTGTCTGCCTGCCTGCCTGATTCTGGTAAGAGCCCTGGGGGCTTCCCAGTTAATCAGTCAGTCCTGCTCATTTTGAGCAGAAGAGCTTGATCAACTCTTATTCCCCTCAAGAGAAGGGGGTTGGATGTGTAACCTCTGAGTGCCTGTGAATGAATATGTGAGTGAATGGACTGGACAGCATAAGCAATACACTGCTCTGCTATGCACCAAGACTGGCTATGGTGGCTGACTGGGCCTTTGCCTGTGGTTCTGTGGTGATTGATATACGGCATAATGGAGGCCGTGCATCCTCCTTAGTTAAGTTGTGCCTAAGGCCGTGAGAGGAGTGTGGCCAAGTAGGCATCTGAATGGTCTCTCTCTGAGGGCCACCCACCCTTTGTCTGTTGTGCCACTCTTTATGGGTACACGATCTACATCAGGAAGTCAGCGATGGGAACTACTTAGTCAAAACCCACAGTTCTTGACTACAGGACTAAGGGCTTTACAGAGTTATAAATGAAACCAAACCACTCCCTGCATCTCAAAGAAAGAAAAAAGGAAAAATAGGTCCATCCTCCTGAGAATTCTGCCTTGGCACCCTTCAGCCAATGTCAGCCAGTTGAACTCGTTCAGCTAGCCATTGCCTGCATTTAGTCACAGGGGCCCTTCCTACACAACTTTCTGCTTGCACATCTATCCTGATGGCATCATCTAATGCCCACTCAAGATGACTATCAGCAATTCCTTCTGAGTTAGTTCCACATTTTGACTCAGGAAAATCAGACTGTCAGTCCTGACAAATGAGCTGCCATGGCCATTTCAAAGGTCACCTCTCCTAGAAACAACATGTTTGAGCACTTCAAAAAGACATTGCACAGGGAGACAAGAAGTACAATAACTACTGTTACCCAGAAACCTGATTTTAATAAAACAGCTGATATCTGTAAGAAAATTGAGTCTGATAGATAACCATACCCTCTGCTGAATTATAAAAACTATGGACATAAATAAATAAGAACTCTCAAAAGTTTCAACCTGGATCAGACGACAACACTTTCATTGGTCTAATTGGCTCAGACTAGGCCAGACTAGGCTCCCTTCTTCAGCTGGGCCACTGGGAGCCCACAGTACCTTCCTCATGGCAACTGGGACTCTTGCTTCTTGCGCTTTCTGCCAGGCACAAACTTGCAGCCTGGAAAGATATCTCACCAGTCACAAATTCCTGTATAAGCCAGTCCCCATTCCACTTCTGGGAAGAGACCTCTTCTTCAAGTTAGAAAGAACCATCTCCTCTGCACCAAACCAGTCAGCCTCTCTCTCATTTAACCCTGCACTTTCTTTTTTTTTTTTTTTTGTCTTTTTCCTTTTTATCGGTACCGGGGATCGAACTCACGACTGCCTGCTTGCAAGGCAGGCACTTATGCCACTGAGCTAAATCTCCAGCCCATAACCCTGCACTTTCAACTTTGACTGTTCCCTAAGATGATGCCTGCATCAGACCGAGACAGACCACTGAAATCCTAAAGTTTTAAAAAACTCTCCTCCCTGAGGTATAAACTAAGGTCTTGCCTCCGGACCTGGCAATCAACCATGCTGCCTCACTGACATTTCCCCCACCCACCCACATTGCTGTCAGATGTCATGAGAAGCACCAACAGGCATCCAATCACACATCAGCCTGAGACACTGTTAATCACCTTGGCAAGATGTCTGTACTGCCGACAACAGTCACCACCTTGCACTCTGATGTTCCCGACACTTGCTCCCATAAGACCCTTCAACTGGGAAACTCCTGAGACAAAAGCCCAGCTCATTTGGACTCAACTGACATAAGAGATTAAAAACTCTCCCACTATTTTGAGGGATGCCCTAGCCATCACAGTCCCCCAAGAAAGGAAAAAATGAGGCTTCAAAACTATAAAATGTCTACAGACTGTTGAACTGCTAAAATACACCTCTCTTGCCCATAAAGATCTCTGAGTTGGCAATGCCACCATGATTGCCCTCCATATATGCTGCCTCAGTCCTCTGCCACCCACAGCCTGCTGGTTCACCTGCCTGGTCCTAAAAAAAATGCCTTCTCCTGCCTTTGAGTGGCTGCTGTCAGGCAGCCCCTCCTTTACCTTTAAATGAAAAGACCCCAGTTCTGGACTCCAAAGTCAACTGACCTGGACGAAACCACTCAAAGGTTCAAAAACTTGTTTCCTGTTTGAAAAAGCACTTCTGATTTAATGACACTCAGGCTGCCTGCTGGAAAGACACAAAAGGTCGGCTACAATATCTGGCAGAAACTGGTTACAAGAAAGAAACTAACAGCCACTGTTCTTCTGATCAAGTAAGCTGACAAAGCTGACAAGTGAGCTCACTTTTCACTGAGACCTAACTGTCCCGGTGCCACATGCTGTACTTGGATGAACTGTTCTAAAAAACGGGCCCATTCAAGGCTGACTACATCTTGTTTACAGATGCAAGTAGCTCTGTTAGGAATGAAGTCCAATGGGCCAGATATGCTGTGGTCACCTTGGACTTATTTTGGCCAAAAACTCTCTTGCAGGCATGATCTGCACAGCAAACTATTTTCTGCTGCTGTTTTGAAACCTGCCACCAATGATACAAAATAATTCAGTTCAGAGGCCTAAGCCCCTCCTGGGATCCAACTAACACATCAACCCTAGCCACCAGATCTGCCCCCACCATTTGTTCTGCAAGCTCAAGAACTGCACTGGCACCTGTACCCTGCAGCTATGTCGTGGATTAAAAACTGGAGGTCAACCTAACACTAGCTGAGCTCAATCAGTGTGGTGCTGAGTGTGGGGCCCACTGAGAACTGTTGCCAACATAAAGGAGATCTGGAGAAGAAGTTAATGTTATTGTTTCTGTGTTGCCATTGGCTGTCTAGGAAGAGCTTATCGAGCTTCTTTCCTGATATGACCTTGGCTGTTATCATCATCAGAGGAGCTCGGGACCTTACTGTCACTGAGAATGGCTTTGGTTCACTTCGGGGGAGCTCTGGTCTTTACCACTTTCTGACTCCAGTGGGGAAGACAGTATGCTATTCAATCTCTAGAAGAAGCTCATCATGCTGGCTTCCTGATATGAATTTAGCTGTTCTCATAGTTAGAGGAGCTTGAGACTCCGTTGTTGCTGAGGATACTGCGGTACTTCTCAGGGGAATCCCGGTACTTACTTTAAGTGTTGCTTCCTGGCTCCAGTGCAGAACTTTCAACCTACTGGCACAGATCCTTCATCCCACTGGCACAGAGCTTTCACTGCTGACCTAGCACAGATCTGTAAAACAGACTTGCATGAGTCATTATCCTAGGCTCTTCGTCTCCAGCTGGATTTGCTGGGGGCATTATCATGGGCTCTGGGTCTTCAGCAGACAGACGCAGGACACTATTGCACCCTCAGCTGGGCCCTCAGCTCGATTCCTTGGGTTTAAGTGTGTGGACAGATTCCCTGCACTTTCTTTGTATTTGACTCCTTGGGTAGCCATTATCACCAATATTATAAAGTATGTGTCCGATATTGTCTTGTTCTCCTTGCAAACCCTAACTACTACAAGCTGGCTCAGACTTCACTGTCTGTGTCATTAGCCCCAACCTCCCATTCCCTATTCATACTGAGACAACAATAAAAGTTGATAAAGTCCTGCTGTAAAAAAAAATCATTCCCAGATATAGCCTACCCTTAATCACTGGCACCACCAACAGCTCAGCATTTAAAGTAGAGGTAACTCAAAAACTCCATTAAATAAAAACTATCTACAGCCTACAGGTCACAAAGCTCTAATTTTTTTTTAAACCCCAGCTTATAACCAGTTAAAAGACCAGCTGCATCTGTGGACATTCCTGCACACACATATATCCCACGTACATATTAAATACCTCTACAAGTTTCAGAAATTCAGCCTTAGACCTGCTGGAAAGATTTAACAGCACAGCTTCTTCAAGTCTCTCTCTAAAGAGTGAGCTGACCAGTCCACTCAGGACTGAAGCCAAAGGACATCATTCACAGGATTGCTCCTCACCTATTTCCCTTGATACTTGTTATCTTTTTCAGCCTGCTTATCCAGTCCTTGCCTCCCTGCCCTCCCATCCTAAGCTCTATGGACAGCTGCCCCAAGAGAATCAATCAATCAAACACTTGACCAAGATTTGATGAGCATCCAAGACACATTGGACACAACACTATCTTGCCAGAATAATGTTACAAAACAGACAGACCTAAATTCTAGTTGGGCCTTGTCTCAGAAGATCACATGTAATATGTCCATTTGCTGGGGGAACTAAAAAGAGGGGAAATGTAGCAGAAAATGCACGCCATCCCCGTCAGTTTCTTAGTTGCCCAGGTAACCATTCCTGTTCTAGTACAGGGTGCTCCTGTGTCTTAGAAACAGCTGGTCACTGTGATGCACACTGTATAAACCAATCCCCAATGACAAGCCATTCTGCTTGCTTATCTCCAATAAGCACCATGCCACCACAGATGAGGGCCTGGTACACTGGGAATGATCACCTCTTCATGTAAATAAAGCTGCCTCCAAATCCTGGATGTCTCGTCGGTGTTTCTGCTTGCCATTACAATCCCAGCGCTTGGGAGGTTGAAGCAGGAGGATCACCGCGAGTTCGAGGCCGGCTCGGGGTAGACACTGTTCAGGACCAGCCTGTGCTATATAGCGAGACCTTGTCTCAAACAAAACAAAACACCCTAACCAACCGTAAAAGTCAAAATCAAAAAGGCTGAGACCCATGGTTCACAGGGTGGGACGTAATCATCCTCAGTGTTAAGCAGCATTCCAGTAACTACAGAACCTGGGAGGAAAGAAACACATCCATGAAACCCTGAGTGCCGCGTGCACACTGCGCCGGGTCTCCTGGAGTAAAGCTCCGGCGGGCTCAGGCCCCGCGCTGGCGCCTCCCGGACGCCGCAAGCCACCGTGCCAGCTCGCCTGGCTCCCCAGCCCAGCGGCGGGGGACCCCGAGCTGCGCTATTACCCTCATCTCCACGCCGTCTGACAGCAGCCGTGGACACGCCAGAGCTCCTGCGTGGTCAGCTCCATCCTACCGTGGCAAAGTCACCCCAACCCTGAGGTGCCCCTCACCTGTCGCCTGCGGGGGTGGGAGTGGGGTCAGTTCCAGCCTGGCCCGAGATAGGGCGGGGAGGGCGCGCGGAGCCGGAAGTCCCGCCTCCCGGTGACGTCACTGCGCCGCGCCCCGCGCCACTCCCGGAAGCGGCCGCTGCTAGCCAGACCAGGCCAGCAGGTGGGCGACTGGGTTGAGTTGCTGATCCCGCCTTGCGGCCGGTGACCCAGGTCCCCGGAGAAAGCCTAGAGGAGTCAGAGCTGTTTCCATCTCTTTATTTGAACTGTATGAGCCTCTTCTTGTCTGGCATCTTTGCTATACTTCTGCCTGGTTTTCCTTTCCGCCACATGCTGCGTCTCTTCCCTTCCAGACAGACGTGGGAGGGTTGATGCTCAGTTGACCTCCCTTATCGCTTGAGGGTGATGGAAGGCCGTCTATCCCAGAGATACTTTGAGCTCACCACGCCCACACTCGGTGAAGACACAGGTTGCCGCAGCGTTGTTTGCTTAACCTCGGACCAGCGTACTCTGCCCAAACGTGCATCACACCGTAGGGAACAGGTCGGTGTTATCGCCGGGGAGAGGAGCAATCAAGTAGGCCAGCAAGTCATCAGTGATTCTTCCCCACGCTCAGAAGGGTAGTTTCGCTCCTTTCTTTCTCAACATCTCGGTGCCAGGCACAATCATCCGGCCAGTGGTTGACAGTAGACCAGTACCTCTTCATTGCTTTTCCTTTTTGGTCATGACGTTCTGCTTCCTAATTGATGTGCGCAACAGTCAATGAGTTTAGAAAAAGCTGTTCACTGTTTTAACAGCTTCTCATGATTTAATTCATTTTTAATTCTCAGAGCAGTTCCATGAGGTCAGGATTAGCAGGTGACCACGGGGTCTGGAATCATAAGCAAGTACATAAATAACTAATTACATCATAATGACGTTCTGTGGTATGTTCAAAGTTGTGTTCCTCCTTACTAATAAATGTGTGAAAAACTTTCTTGAACATGATTCACTAGTTAGCATTTCTTTAAATTCTTGCATAGGCTTCTGTGATGTATTTTTCAAGTGCTTTATGTCTCTAATTTCATTAATCCTGAGATAGGAGATTAAAGCCGGGCCAAACAAGCCAAATGAGTGGGTGAAATGTGTCAACAGTCATAAAAGCGCAGAAGGACATGCAGAACACAGGACCCAAAATGACTCCACGTCTCCTGAGGACTGCATTGTACATGGAACCAATCAGGAAACAGTATTTTCAGTCTTTCATTTGAATCTTGGGCTATTTGCAGGACCAATCAGAAAAGTGCTATTTTCTGTGCATTTATATCTTGCAGGAAGTCAAGTGAGTTTTTCCATGGTCCAAATGAGCATTTGATTTGGTAGGAGAACTGTTCCAATGCTTATTTGCATGAAGGAGAAGTCAGTACAGGAATTTTGGATTCCAACCACCCCTTGCCCTTATTCTGGGGCTGCTGTGAGCCTGTTCACCAGCTCACTCCCTCCCTGTAGAGTGCATCTCCTCTCTGCCTTCAAGAAGTGTACATTTTCACTGTCTTTTCTGTGCATCTTGTTCAGTTCCTTGTTCAGGGAACATGGGGCCCTCCATCCAGTAACAAGCCTGCGCTAGAAAGAATAAACCAGAGGTTCCGTCTTTAAAAACAACAACTATCTTTCCAGTCCTTTTGGCCACACCATGCTATTGTATTCGTTTAATCATGGTATAAAGAGAGTCCCAAAAAATTAAGTAAGTTGGTTAAGGCATCTTGGCAGAGCCAGGCTCTGCAACTGTCTGTCTGAGAGACTATTTCAGGCATCCTCTGAATTGTTCTTTATGGCTTTCCTCTTTCTTTGTTATTTCTGTAATGCTCATACTCTTTCTCATAAATTCATCATTTTTGCTGTGTTTTTCTCTCTGCAGGTTGCTGTTCTCTCTCCCTTCCTTCCATTAACTTCAACACATGATGTTGAATTCATATGGTTTCCTTAATGCTCCACGCTGTATACAGCGATGCTTTTTTCTTTATACTCCTGTGTCAGCATTTGCATTCTTCTGTTAGGGCACTACCTGTTTTCAGCACCAGACTGTGAGATCCTAAAAGACAATTACCCCTTCTTTCAACTTTGTGTTCCATATGTTTTAGTCTGTGTTTAAGCGTCTCCCCTCAGAGCTTTTGATCTCCTAGTCCAAGGCAGGAATGCACCCAGACCTTGGTTTGAAGTGGAAATAGTATGTGCAAAATACTTGGAAATAGAAGCCAAACTCTCCTGTCTCTTAGCTTCTCTGTGGGCATCTGTTTCATCATTGTTTGATTCACAGACTACATGACAGAACTCGGCCAATGGTTTGTGCGATTTATGCCGGTGGACTGTGGAACCATTGGTGCTGTTCAGATAGTTCCTACTTTCTACCTTCTAGATACATGGTAGGATTGAACTTGCCTCTTGGTTGGGTGCTTGGGGAAAGAGAGAGGTAGAGGGGATATGAGAAGTTCTACCCAATGAGTCAGGTGGAAAAGTGGGCCATTTCAAAGCTGAGCTGTTGATGACTTAGGTGATTTCCTCTGAAACATCACAGTTTCCCTTGGCAGGTGATGACAGCATTCCAGAGCCTGTATCCTTGAGTAGCTATTGCTGCTTAGTCTACTCACCATCCTGCAGTGAACACGTACCATGAAAAAAGTGAGCTTTGTTAAAATTCCTGAGAGTTTCATTGTTATGTGTCAACCATATAGCCTGTCTAAACTGACGCAGGACTGTCACACAGTGATTCTTTTTTCCTTGCTTTTAACTTTAGTTCCAGATATCCAGAAAATTGTTTACTTTGGGTCCAGTGTCCAGCAGTTTAAATTATAAATGACAAATATTAATGGTCATCTTGGCCCTCTGTCAGCAGGGTAAGGAGACATAGTGAACAAGGCAGATGTTCCACAAAAGTGCCTATCAGAAGCACAAATGGCCATGACATTGGGCCATTGTGTGCTGGTGGTTATTAAGGTGCAATAGGTGTACATTAAGGGTGAATTTACTTTGCGTAGATGCACCCCAATACTTTCCACTCCGGAACCCGCTTTGTGCTTCCCTCCCTGCTCTCTCTCACTCCTTCTTTTTCTCTAGTACTCTTCCTCCTACTTTGCTGTCATCTTTCTCTTTTTTTAGATTCCACGTATAACAAAACTGCAATACTTCGGCTTTTGGAGTCTGCCTTATTTACAAAACACTGTGATCTCAAGTTTCACCCGTTTTCCTGTACTTGACATGGTTTCACCATTCGTTCTGGCTGAATAGTTTTCCGTGTACTGATTTTAAATGACACACTTTTATCTTACACGAAAATATTATGTTTTCTTTACTCATTCCTTTTTTATCGACTACTCATTTATTTCAAACATTATTCCAGGTCAGAGATACCAAGGCAATCAAAAAAAAAAAGTCGTTGATCTCACAGACATGCACTGAACAAATAAAATACATAAATATGTGATGTTAGTCTAAGAACTAAAAGGCAAGGTTAGTGGTAGAAGTGTGTTCATTTACTGTTGCTTAACAGTTACTAAAAATTTAGCAACCTAGGACATTTGACATTATTACCTCACACAGTTTCTAAGGGTGAGGAAACCAAAAGTGGTCTAATTGTGAAAGATTTGGAGAACCCACGGGAATGCTCCTTAGAAGCCATTGTGACAGGTTATTTAGCAGGAATGTAGCAGAAGGGGAGGAAAACCATCTCATAGAAAGTGGAGAAACCCAGCAGGATTGCTAGACATGAAAAGATTTCAGAGGAATGTCAGCCACATACAGCACTTACAAGGAACAAATTGCGCTGAATAGCATGGAACGTTCTGGAATTGCATGAGCAGCATCATCAAAGAGAAAGAGATAAAAAGATTGCATTTGTGATATGGCCAAGATCAACTATGTAGGGGCCCTCGAGGCTAACTAGGAACTGCCGTAATTGGTGGAGTCCCTTTTGTGGAGGTGAAGGAGCAGTTGGGGATACTTTGCAAAAAGACTGAAGGTTGTATAATAGCGATGTAAATGAGACAGATAAATGGGTGATACCTGGGACTATGGCAAAAAAGAGTAACTTGGGTGGTTTTTATGAGAGCATTGGAAGAACTTGTTGTTTTCCTCTTATTAGTCCATTATGGGGAAAGTAAAAATGATTGGGTTAGACATCTCTTAAATTAGGATATGCAGACAGAGGATAATATACAAGAAACAAAAGGAGAAATAATAAAAAGGCAAATTTGTGAAGCATTCCACATTTTAAAAAAGAAAGAATAAAAGTCGAGACCAAGAATTTTTTTATGTGTGATATAAGATCTCTGTTCAACGTATATTCTAAAGATAATTCTAAATGCTTTTAAATGTATGATTCTTCAATGTAGACTCCACAAAACTGTCATCGATGTTCCCTGAAATCCATATTAATTCTTTTTTCAACATTTGAGGTCAAGAAAACACATTCATGTTTTACCTTAAGCAAAAATTTTAAATTGATGTCTTCGTTTTTAATGCACAGAATTGTATCATTTTAATATTTAATCTATGGAGAATACAAAAGGTAGCTTAAAATTGCAGACATGGTTGTGCATGCCTGTAACCCCAGCACTCAGGAGGCTGAAGCAGGAGGATTACTGTAAGTTCAAGGCAAGCCTGAGCTACATTGTGAGTTCAAGGTGAGCCTGAACTACATAGAGAGACCTGTCTCAAAATAAAATGAAAACTATTTGCAAATTGACAAAACAACATATAACTCTCACATTACAACCAGGCTTATATTACATAATGTAGCAGTCCAGACAGATAAATGGGCCTAAAAGCTATCAAACTTGATGTGTGGACTGGAAAATCTTTTCCTAACCATCTGTCCACACATCGCACAACCTGCATTGAAGCATTTGGCTTACAAAAAAATGAACAGAAGAAAATCTGGCAAACAGCACATTAGATGTTCTTGCCATCGAAAACTATATTACATATTTAGGTATGTGTATGTATGCATATTATATTGTGCATATGTGCCAGAGACTGAGGCTTTCAAGATAACTCACCATAGACAGAGTAACTCCAAATGTCTTTTTAAATCCATGTTATTAAATCCATTAGTCCCCCTCAAGGAAGCCACACCATTAAGAAGCTTTTAGTGGCAGGGCAGGGTAGAGTGAGGATAAGAAAAATACAGCAGATGTAGTTCAACTATCTCTACAAATTAACAACAAAGCAGAGATTGGGACTAGCGTCAGATGAGTGCCTCCTTAGAGGACAATATGTTCCCATTTTATTGGATTCCTCAGAAACTAATTGCTCCATCCTACAAGATTTTGTGAGCTAATAATGCTGCTACGGGACTTTTACAAATCATTCCTTTTTATTTTTTAATGGAGACTTTATATTCCCCAGTAAAATAAGAATAGCATTTTTCATAGGTCAAAATATCTTTCTATACTATCCGTCTATCCAGATGTGATTAATTAAATAATGGCTCTCCAAAGATGTCCCTGTCCTAACCCCTGGAACCTGTTGCATGCTGCATTGTAAGGATAGTGCAAGCATGATTAACA